AAAAAAAAAAAAAAAGAATCAGCTCCCAGTGGCTCACACCTGTAATCTTACCACTCTGGGAGACTGAGGCAGGAGGACTGCTTGAGCTCAGGAGTTCAGGACCAGCCTGAGCATGAGTGAGACCCCATCTCCACTAAAAATAGAAAAATTAGCTGGGCATCATGGTGGGTGGGCACCTATAGTCCCAGCTACTCAAGAGGCTGAGGCAAGAGATCTCTTGACTCCAGGAGTTTGAGGTTGCAGTGAGCTAGGCTGACACCATGGCACTCTAGCCTGGGCAACAGAGTGAGACTCTGTCTCAAAAAGAAAGAATCAGCTATTGAAGGACAAGGCTGACAAGCAGAACTGAGTCTATATGGTTCCAAAGTCTGTGCTGGTGCCACAGAGATACATAAGATCTAGGTCCATGGGATTCTAGGTCAACATTTCCAGCTCAGGTTCACGGTGGAGCCACCAGGCCACCTATGTGTGGCAGCCTCTGTGATGATTTCCCAGGACGGCCTCAGGGAACAGCTGTTTTGAAAATGTAGATAAAAACAATTCTACATATATAAGCACCTGGTAACAGTGCTTGTAAGTGCTTCAAAATACAAGCAACAAAGATCAAAAAAACTAAAGGGAAAAAGAGAGGGACAAGTGCGTCCTATACATGAAGCTTTAACACACACCTCTCAGCAACCGATGGAACAAGTAGAGAACAATGAGAAAGTATGTAGATTTCATAATACTATCAACCAACTTGACCTAGTTAACACTCAGTTCTGTAACAGCAGCAGAATACATATTCTTCTCAAGAGCACTGAAACATGTACCAAGATGGACTATAAGGTGGGCCATAAAGCAAGTCTGAATAATACCCAAGGACTGAAATCACTCAGAGGATTATCTGACTAAAGGGTCCAAATAGCCAGAAACCCCCTAAACTTGTATAGTGAGCCACACTCTGAAACAGCCTGTGTATGCTGGTGTCTGAGTTCTGGCCTCTCAGCCATGCCCACCCCCCATCCCCCTCCACGCTAAACCTGCCCACAGGGAGGGTGGGGCAACTGGAAGGCAAGTGGCTCCTTCCGTGGGCTTCCAGTGCAGAGCCACCTCCAGTGTGCGGGAGCATTATCCCACTTTTTGCCCTGGCGGCAGCAATTTCTTCCTGAAGCAGCAGCCGCAGCCTCTTTGCAGTTTTCCCAGCACTTGCTGCCTCGCCCAACACAAGCATCAGTAGCCCCATCACAAGTCTATAGATCATCTGTGGGAATTCAGATTTGAGTAATTCCAACTCCATGTCACCTTATTCCCGTAGTCCTTGGACTGGAAGCTGCAGGTGCCTCTTTGTGGTGTCTTGAACTGTCTGCTTCAGCCCCGTTAAAAGCTTTACACTAGATACACATTCTCATTCAGCTGGGTGGTTCCCTTCTTGTCTTGATACATTGTGAGTCCGATTATCTGTTTCTTCTTGGGTGAGTGTATTAGTTTCCATAGTTGCTGCGACAAATTACCACGAACCTAATGGCTTAAAATGACAGTTTCTCATCTTACAATTCTGGAGACCAGAAGTGTGAATTGAGCTTTACGGGGCTAAATCAAGGTGTTGGCAGGGCAGCACTCCCAGCTCCCTGAGGAGGCTCCAGGGAAGTCCATTTCCTTGCTTCTTCCTGCTTCTAGAACTTCATTTCTTGCTCATGGCCCCTTCCTCCATCTTGAAATCCAGCAGTGTTGCACTTTCAAATCTGTTTGCTTCTGTTCTCACATTACTTCTGCCTTATGTGTAAAATCTGCCTCTGCCTTTCTCTTATAAACACAAGTGTGATCATATCTGAGGTCTACTCTGATAATCCAGGATAATTGCCCCACCTCAAAATCCTTAATTTAATCCATCTGCAAAGTTTCTTTTGCCATATAACATAACTCTCACAGGTTCTAGGGATTAGAATGTAGATATCTTTGGGGGTTATTACTCTACCCTATCACATAATCAGTTATGCTAATATATTTTTATAGAAATTTACTATTTCATATCTTTTAAAATGTACTGGCATAAAGTTGTTTATATTCCTTTTTCAATGTCTGGAGGACATGCAGTAATGTTTCCTTTTTCATTCTGACATTTGTTATTTGTGCCACATTTTTTTTCTTGATTAGTCTCATCCAGAGTTTAACAATTTTATTAAGAGTTCAAAGAGTCAACTTTAGGTTTCACCAATCCTCTGCATAATAAGAGGATTTATAATCATTTATTTTATTTTTCTATTTCATTTATTTGTGCTCTTATATT